GTGATCCACCACAAATTTGTTCACCAATTAATTAATGTTGTGCATCACAATTGTTTAATAGAAATTTAAAAAAAAAAAAAAAATAGTGCCTAGTAAATCTTTCCTCATGTCAAAAGTAAAATGTTCTATGTTAACTCTTTTTGAACGTCTCCGTTCGACAGTTGTTTCACTTGTTTTTTATACTACAGTAAGATGTAAAGATGAAGAAAAACACAATGAACAAAACCATTCATATATTTGTGTAAGCGTGTGTAACTAGAATAAGTGAACGAAAGAATTTCTACAGGAAAAGTGAACACCATAAAATTACTTTATTCTTATTAAAAAGCAACTGCGACAATTCACAAAAAGACAAACAGATAATTCTCCTGATGTCATGCAATTCAAGAGCCATTGCTAATTCAAGAGTTCGTAATACATGGAAGCATGGAAAGTTCGACGAATATATACAACTCGAAGAGAGATTATTTATTACGTTTCATCAAAATCATCATTATCACCGAGATTACCAACCCAATGATTGATTTTAACAAATTATTTGAAGAGTCAAATCTTGTACTTCCATTGTCATTTTGAGGCATTCGATCAGCTTCAGTTAAATTCTTGAACAATATGGACCAATGGATCATCCAATCCATCACGTCCACCACAATCCCCTTCATCATCTGCAAAAAATTTGTAATCGACCCAAATGAGATATCATTATCGACTGTACCCAGAGACGGCTGATCGAGAATAGTAGTAGCTGCCAAAAGCAACACAGTAAGGAGTTATGTGCATATCTTCTACAGCAGCATGGGATGAATACCACAAATACATAATCGAATTTCTTACCGAGACTCCTGCGTGATTGGAGCAAATCCTGAAAATCTTGGTTTTGTATCACAGCATTCCACACATTTGAATCAGCAACAATAGATGAAACAACATTCTAGCACAAGAAGTTAACATAATAAAATATATTGTTTCTAGTACTTCTCAATAGTACGAGATGTCTTAAAATCTCAAACGTTTTTTGTAACGACCCGAACTTCTACATTCAAATCTTTTAGCTTTCATATTATCAATTGAGTAACTTACCCAGTTTGTACAGGGTTTTAACTTAAAATTCTCATAAAGCGATTAAGCAATTTGTTCAATTGGTACATGATTCAACTTAAATATGTCATAAAGCAATTGAACAACTTGCTCAATTGGTACCAAAATTCAACTTAAGTCTCTCATGAGACGGATATCAGGTTTTAATTTAAGTCAATGTTTCTATGAGATTCACAACTTTTTAACAATATAATTCATCAATTTTTATCAAAATTTACTAAAAAATCGGCTTTAATCCCCACTAAATATGGGCTAAGAAGATGGGGCCTCGAATGATACTCTTGAGGGTGACCTTGGGGATAGAGCAATTCTAATAGGACTATGGTGAAGCACAGACCCAGATTTCCATTGATTTATTGATAAGTTCTCAAAGACTCTGGGAGGGCACGAATATCTATGAGAGATTTGATGGATATAGACTCTTTCGAAACAGACAATAATACTTGAACACAAATGTTGGATCATTACACTTACTGTAAGTACCTATTCGAACTTTCTAGTCAAAACGAGAGGTGTCAGCAGAAAAACCTGAACTCGTGGGCTTTGATTTAGAAGCTGAAATGCTTGAATAGCACCCGTAGACAAATGTGAGTTTGACCGCAGCGATGAGTTTGGATGTTGATCTCCTACAGTCATGTCCTCATGTCGAACAGGATTAGATGAAGCTAGAAATCTGAAAATTTAAGGTAGAACCCTCAAAAGTTTCAAATAATAAATAGATAATCAAAACCAGGTAGAATTCACTTATTCACATCCTCTGAGAACCAAGGCTTGACTAATCTATTCGCAAGAATTGACTAAAGGGAGAAGATGAAATTCAATAAAACGGTAAGAATCTAATTTTGTAAATCGAAAATCATCTATAACATACAATTGGCCTGCGTGCGATAGTTCAGAAGTTGCTTCTCTTGCTTCCTGAAGAGTGGGCAGGCCGACAAAAATAACCCTAGGCAAAGGCTCACCGGCCGTAACCCTCAGCTCCTCCTTCGATTGTGACGAAGAAGCCATCAGTGGTGAGTCCATCGCTGCCGATGAGCGGGTGGACACGGCAGCAACCGAGACCGGATGGTTCTCTACCGTGAGCCGCCTGGCTCCATTCATCGGCAATGTCCTAGTCACCTTCAACGCGGCCTTCATCGCTCCGGCGCCTCCCATACCTTATCACTAGAGTGTTTCTCGATAAGAGACTCTGAACTTGTACTAAATAATGGGTAAGGTAACAAGTAACGTCATAGAACGTGGACGGTGAAAGAAAAATTAAAATAATATCAATTTTTTTATTTGCACAAAATTGATTGATTTGTACTTTCTTTTCTTCATTGGCAAAGTCTCCAATTTTTTTAATCAGCGATCGATCTCGACCATTTAAAATAGGGACGAAGGTGGAGTTAAAGGATTGGAGATACGAGAGAAATGGATGGTACTTGGTAGTGGAAAGAAAGAAAGCAAAAGTATGAGATTCCCCATTTATTTTACTTGGTATTTCCATAAACTAGTAGATAAAAATTATTAAATGCTAGGTCCAAAAATAATTTATACCATATCCTTAAATTTTATTGAATCTAAAATTTAATGTAGTTATGTTGCGATATATATTGATGTTAAACACTCGTAATACTGTGTAGAATTATTATAAAAAAAATAACAAAAAGTAATATTCTAAACAAGAAAAAGGATAAATTCTACTGTCATGGTCGGCTCAACGATGAAATCATCTGAGCAGTCACCAAAGCCCGTAATATGCAAGGTCCCAAAATTTTGAAATTTATATTATTTTAATTTTCCCCTTTTTAATAATGAATAGTTCTATTAAAAAAATAGTGAAGGAAAGATCAAAATAAAATCCAACCTAAGCACCCACCCCCCTCTCGGGGCCCTTTTTCCCATTTCTACTACTGTTGACCCCCCCCCCCCCCCCCTTTTTTTTCCCATTTCTACTACTGAAAACACCAAAGACTTTAAGATTATGTAATCAAAGTAATAAATCTTTCAATTACAATTAAATATTTGCAATCAAAGCATCAATTTTGATTAATATACCGTTTATGGTATTATATTGATATTCTTTTTTGAGTTGGTTTTGATATTTTTACTTATTAATTGGTGAGGACTCTATGGTGAGCATATCTTTAAGAAGGTTGTACTTTTGTCTTTTTATTTGTATTTGTAATACCAGTAATATGTTAGGAGGGTTTATATTTATTTATTTTGGGATATATTTGCTTCTTTAATTCTGATGATCTTCTCCATTTTGCATACATAATTGAACACAAGTCTTTTTTTTTTCATGGTTTATATATATAGTTGATACTTGTGTTTTTTAGATGATTATTGAAAATTATGTATTCCTTCACCTAAAAAACATTATGATCTTGATTCTTGATATGCTCAAACTTTTTCATTATTCTTGAAATTGTAGTGTTCATTAGTCTATATCATGTTTAATTTTTTATAAAATTATCATAGTTTTGAATTGTACTGCATATTTTTTTTAGCATTTGATAAATGAATTACATCACAAAAAAGATTGAATGAGTTAGCTATTTTGTACATTGAACATGATTCATTACATAAACTTGATTATGGAGTTAATCAACATAGAAAATACTGTCAAGTGTTTGATCAATTTCAACTTCATATTTTTAGACTAGAGGTTTAATGCTTTGTTTTATTTTGAGCTACTAATTATTTATATTAATAAAGCATTCAAATTAGCATAGAAAATATATACAAGATTAAAATGTGAAATCTTACATATAAGTTAAGGATCCGTTTGATTGTAAAAATGAAATTTATGTGGAAAAAAAACGAATTCCATGGAATTGAATTACCCAAAAATTGTTTTATTGAGAATTAATGTTAATCATTGTGTTTGATTGGTATAATTTTTCACGTGAAAAATGTTGAAATAAAAATATTTTTGGGTATTCATTTGGTTTTGTTTTATATGAAAATTGACAATTAAAGAAGTATAATTTACTGGTATTAGGGATAAAATTTGTTTCTAATGTCAAAAAAAATCAAGAAAATCATCTATCTTTTGATATTTGTTTTTCTTTGTTTTACATGAAAATTATCAATTAAAAGAAAAAAAATTTTACAATTAAGGATAGAATTTCTTTCCATTGCAAATAATAATAATAATAATAATAATAATAATAATAATAATAATAATAGTAATAATAATAATAATAATAATAATAAATGAGGAACAGTAGCCTAGAAAACCAAAAAAAGTCCCCTTTTCGAAAAAACCAAGAAAATCAGTTTCATGAAAAAAAAACCTATCAAATAGCCAAAAAGTGGAAGTTGGAATTTGAATTCCATTTTCCATGGGAAATTCATGCCTATCAAACATGCCCTTAAGTGATAGGTAAATTTTTGTATCTTTAAAAAGGCGGAAAAATCCTAGTATAAATGTGATTCAAGTCTATTTCTTCATATTACTTTTCGTTTACATTTACATTTGGTCCCTTTCAAAAGATTTGTGGTTGAGTCGAACTCGTGATTAGGAAGTGGAGGATCAAGAAGTTCATGCACTTTTGAGTTTTGAGAAACACAACTTTGCATAACCCAACCTATTGACCAGAATGATTTCTCAAATCGGGTACCTAGACCATCTCTAATGTGAGACCCAAAACACCAAAATGCACCGTTTTTTTGTTGCAAAAGAGCTCCAATGCAACATTATACTTTACACAATTTTACACCAAAATGGTGCAAAGTGTATAAAGTCTTTTTTACCATTTCTTATCATTTTCCAAATAAATTGATTAAGGGTATTTGTGCTATATATTTTTTAATACAATAAATTATTATTATTGTTATTATTATTATTATTATTATTATTTGCATTTAAAATAATTTTTAAATGTAAAAACTAATAATTAGTGAATTAATATAAAAAATATTAATATCGTAATATCCAAATTCAAATTGCATTGCACTATTTTTTAATGGCATAATTTAATATTTTCGCTGTTGTAGTGTTTTTGTTAATTGTACTATATTTTTTATATTTATTAATGAATTTAATCTTTTTTGTAATTTAACTTAATAATTTATTTAGTAATTTATGTTTTTATAAAATAATTAAATAAATAATATTTCAAATAAATAAATTACTAAGAATAAAAAAAGGGGAAGAAAATGGTTAAAAACAGCTCATTTAATGTAATTTTTTGTGTAATGATTGGAGGTAAATTTTAGTTTGGTGCAAATTTTAGTGCAGCGTTGGAGATGACATTATAAGAACTTCAAAAGCTTAAGGCAAACCTTCTATAAGCCTATTAAATAATCAAATTGGTGCTCCGATGACCGTTATAGCATGCTCTCTTAGTGGCCTCAATGATGATTACAAAAATTTGGGCCCCCTCTTTATACAAAATCATACTTTTTAGCAAAATTCCTCCTAAAATTTAGCTAAACTCTCTATTCTTATCAATAAAAAAATTCTAATTCAGCTAAATAATATAAAAATGATAATTATATCATTGTGATATTGCTGATTAGGGATAGCAACGGGGTGGGTATGGGTCGGGGAAACTTCTCCCACCCTGCCCCACTAGATAGTGTCCCGCCCCATACCCATTTAAGTCGGGGACCAGTTGGGAGTAGGGTGAGAGCGGAGCGGGGCGGGGCGGGGCGGGGCGGGGCAAGGTCTCTACTCATTTACTGCCTCATTTTAATTTAGTTTTTAATATATTTTAAGTTTAGTACCTTTTGTAATAATATAATATTTTGACAAACATTATGCCAATTCTCCTTACTCTTCTCAAAAACTTTGAGAACTTGAAGTTTAACATAATCCTTGTTATACAACAACAGAGGAAGAGCTGTAGTAAAATTGAAGGAATTCATCAAGCAATATTGTGAACCGTTCAACGTCAAATAGCTTCTCAATCTTGAAATGAAAATCAAATCACCAATGCCAAAACAATTGTCTTTCACCATAACTTAAATCCACAAACAATACATTCACTCAACTAAAAATACATCCAATATATTCTAATTGTGCAAATTATTGGATAAATTACAACGTAGCTTGTAGAGAAACATAGCATAATGCAACACTTCATGTTGTAGATCTTCAAGAGCTAACATCTTCTTCTGAAATGTCTATATCTAGCTCCTTAAAAATTGGTGACTGAAGAAGTGTATTAGTTAGACAAATGATATATCTAACTATTTATTACTCAAGTCCATTTGAATGAAAACAATTTACCTCCTCTTCAATATCCATGTCACTTAATTTTGTACAGCATCTAGAATATGATGTAGGTAATGAATGTTCTATCAAAAAATAAAACTAGTTAGTAATAAAGAAATAACATAAATAACAATTATAAAAAAAAACATATATAGTTATATTTATCGTACCATGAATGTCAGACCATAACCGATCTTGAGCACACATTAAAGCTTCCAAAGTTTTTGGATGAAGCCTATTTCTGTGTGGACTAACAAATCTACCACCGGTACTGAATGCAGACTCTGACGCCACAATAGATATTGGAATGGCTAAAATATCTCTTGCAACTTTTGCCAAAAGAGGATATTTTATTGAATTTGTATTTCACCATGCCAATATATCAAAATCAATTGATCTAGGCAGTACGGGCTCGTCTAAGAAAGTGTCAAGCTCTGATTTCATACCATTATACTAGTCATATTAGAACCAAATAAATCAAATTGTGGCAACCGATCCTTTTTGCTCATATTAGTAATTATCTAAGTTCTGTTTGAAGATTCAATCATATTACCACTTGATCCATGTTTTATTTTGTACTCATTTAGTAGTTTTTGACAAAATCTTCTAATATTTTGAATCTCAAGATTCGAAAATTTAAATCTTGGATCCAACACACTAGCTACTGCCAAAATTCCATAAATCTCACTCCAATATTTTTCAAACTTGTCAATCATACTTAAAGCCATCATTCTGATTTCATCATAAGGAGATTTCATCCAATCATAAATTGACAACTTTATCTCACAAATATAAGAAAAATTAAAAAATGGATGTTGGGTACTTGGTCCCAGAAAATATTTCAGTCTTTTCAAAAACACCTCCAACCTTTCACATATCTCTTTCGCCGCCAAATTCCAATATGCATCACTAGGCAAGCATTTATATTGTGTCTCACGTTGCTTTAGTCGAGGAAAAACATCCATATATTGTAAAGCACCGTGAAGCATTAAATAGGTAGAGTTCCACCTCGTTTTGCAATCTAGTGCTAACTTTTTGGAACAAGAAATTTTCAATTGACGTGCTGAAGTCTCAAATTTCTCTAATCGTTTTGGAGTTGCTGTTCAATATGCAACAGTATCACGAATTTTCTCAACACTCCAGCTAATGATCTCTAAACCATCTTTAACTATCAAGTTCAATATGTGTGCACAACAACGCATATGAAAAAATTCACCATTCA